TAAATCCTTGCAACAAATGTAAGCAGCAATAAAAATACCAAACAAATGAACAAACAAACAAACAAAAAAAAACAAACCAAAAAGAATCCCCAAAACTGTAAGCAGCTTAAACCCAAGATCTTCCTCACACTGGTGCCTCCCACTACAGCTGGGCTGGCCTGTGCTGAGGGCAATAGCAACACTTTACAGTAAGCCCAGACTCCAGGTGAAGGAAAGGCAAGGCTTTATTGCCACTTTGTGTGAACAGCAGTACATTTTACTACACAAACGCAATTGGCAGTTGCTATAGCAGCAAGACAGTCTCTGTGGTCTTTTTCTGAGAGCTTCCTCTTAATTTGCTCTGAGTCATGTATACGGTCCATCTCCAAAAATACTTCTTCACCTGAGCCTTTGCATCAGGATAAACAAGACAAATCTATCTTTGTATTTGAACGGATCATGCTTTAGTGAACAACTGCAGAACCAGATTTGAGCATTAGCATCCACACAGATGTGGATACCTCTTCGTTTGTTCCAACATCTGCAGGAGACCCCTCTGGGGTGAGGGGCTGCTCCCCTCCCTCTGAGCACCTGAGTGCCATGCAGTGACCAGTTTCCCTGACATTCCCACACCTCTGGTGTGTAAATCAGCCATCTAAGAGGAGGTTTTTCTCACCTGCAGGTGTTTGGCATTTGCAATGGTTGCCCCTCACTCCTCACATGCATCACTCCCATGACAGGAAGCAAGAGCTCTGGAAGCAGATTTACCACCACAGTGCAGACATTGTGGAGCACACAGACACAACTAGGCCAGTTCCCTGAGCAGAGGCATGGCAGCACTGCCACAGAGTGGAATTTCCCCTGTGGAACATTCCTATGGCAGCTGCCCAGACCCTGAGCCTGGCAGGATAGAGGAATCCTGCTCATTGCTGCAGCTGTGCTGTGTGTGGGGATCCTCCATCATCCCTGCCCTGCTACAGCCTCTGCACAGCATGGACACACCTGACCCTCCCACTGGCATATGAAGGTCAGGAGAACCAATTCTTTTTGTATTCTGTAATATTTCAGCTAACAAAGAGGAACCAGTTCACATTTGTTTTCAACTTCTGATTTTGCAGCTGTCCTTATCTTCATTATTGATCTATTAAAAGGACAAGACAAAATTCTAGAGAAGACACATGGTCAAATAGCATTGGCAACTTCTTCCCTGAGACTCACAGTGTGACAGCCTGACTTTGAATCTGCTGGTTCAGCTCCAAAATAGAAACTCTATAACCTGGCTCTAGAAACTGTGGCCTGCAGTAATATGTCATCTTCCCAGAAAGGAAATTTACAGTTTGAAAATGATGTTACTTTGGGTTTCTTTCACAAGCACTGTGCACTGATAGGAGTGACCAAGCATATTGAAGAAAAAAAAGAAGGATGCACTATTAATAAACACTTGCAGATTAGTCAAGCAGAAGACTGTATGTGGTTGCCGAGGCAGGCGTGACTTTGATTTAGCATACAGAAATTAAGCCAAGCACCCAGCCTGCACTCATCTATTCTCAGCATCCCCCAGGTTACGTGAACAGATAAACACTGCAGCAGATACTGGCTGTGACTGTGTTCCTCAAGCATCACTTGGTTCAGAGTGAAAGAGGAACAGGGCAAGGAAGAGCCTGTTTTTGTGCAAGTACTCCTCCAATCTCAAGAACTTAGGCTTGGCTTCAGGAAAGCACACCATGAAAGTGACTGAGCAGCAGAGTTGGCCCCTTGCCCTGGCAGCAGCCCAGGTGGAGGAAGCCCAGCAGAGCAGAAGAGCCCCAGACACTGCCAGCCTCAGGCTGTGTCCTGCTCCCCATCCCCTCCTGGAGCACCAGGCTGCTCCCCATGTGCCAACACCAGCAGCAGGGCAGGGATCCTCCTCGAGGCACACACACCTTGTGGGAGAGGGTACCTGGCTCTCCTGGAGCTCCAGGACCTGCCATTTCCAGCATGGGCATTGTTTCCAGAAAATACATCAACCTTGTGCTGCTGCACAGGAACTTCTCACGTTTACCAAGGGTTTGGCCAGGGTCAATGGGACATTCAAGGTGGCATTCAGCTGCTGGGATGGGCAAACCCTTGGGCTGGCCCAGCCACCATGGGAACAGCAAATCCAGCAGGCAGGTCTCCAGCCCACCATAGGCAGCACAGCATTCACACCACAGCAAAGGGCAGCAGGAGGCAAGGGGACAGGGAAAACACAGCATGGGCAGCTTCCTAAAAAAGTTTTTTTTATATATATATAAGGAAGGAGGACTTTGTCTGAATTCAGGCTTCAGAAACACAAAACAAGAGCAAGATTAGTAGAACTTTGAGCCTCCAGAAGCACAATCAGAAAACACCCTAACACATTCGCTCTGTCTTTAAAAGAAGCCTTTAGACAAAATCTATAAGGTAGTTGACTATCTTATAATGGGCTTAGAGGAGAAAATTTGGCTCCTGGTAGCAGGGAAAAGCACTGTCACATTGATATAGTTTGTCATCTAACATCTAAAACTGGCAAACTGTTACACCTAGAAGTTCTATTGAAATACAAAAGGTTTCCAATTTAAACTTCACCTGAAATGATTCACAGTTTGTCTCAGTTATGAAAGCCCTATTGGCACTTTTTCTTCGAGGGTGGAGTACAGCTACCAGCTCTTGCAAAATTTCCTTTCAATCAACACTTTATCACCTTGCACACACCATTTATTTTTGTATTCTGACATGTAGTTACTCATGTGTCTGAATACAGTTTTACATGTTCCTGTGCAGTGCAATATTTGATGCTTTAAAGAGCTTGGCTTTCAAGTGACTGTTTGTCAGCAGTTCCAGGCTTGTTTCAGTGAAGTGTTGCAAAGGTGCTAAAACTAACAAACATGAGAATTGTTAAACCAAAAGTTTGCTTTCATGTGTGTTTTCCATCACTGCACAGCAATATCAGCGGCATCACAATTTCAGGTAAACTCCTGGTTACCCTGAGACCGAGTTCACAGCTCATCATTGCTGAGTAACTAAGTGCTGACAGCCTTTAGAAAGCTGTTCCTCTGAAAATCAAGATGGAAAGCTGAACTGCTGTGGGTTCAGACCCAGGACCTTCTCAGAGTTGCTGAAGATGTCCCTGCCCAGCTCTGCTCAAGGAGCCCCGAGGGGCACACACAGCCTGGCATCACCAGACACCCAAACTCTGCCTTCCTTCACGGGTGCCACCTACCCCTGAGTCAGCAGCTTATCACTGTGACATGCCAAAAGCTTCCACACTTGCCCCAACAAAGCCCATACTGGCCAGCTCTTATATACATTGCATAAATTAAAGTTTTATAGACCATAAAGATATGTGGCCTGAGGAAAAAAAAAACCCGGAAAAAGGAGATTTCCAGTCATGCTGAATAGCAAATGAAACAGTATTTTTTTCCTGATCTTTGCCTTTGAAATTCCACACCCAAATAAAGATCTCAAATCTGAAGCAGTGTAAAAAGTAAAAAACAAAAAAACAGAAGCAAAGTGAGCTTTTATCTCTCGAGCTGAGATGTGCAGTAAATTTAAAGTACATTTGGGAACTGTGTGAAGCTATTTTTCATCTCTGCACTTCGTGGCTGAAATTGCAAGAGACACAGGCATCAAAGCCTGGCCTGTGTAGTTTCAAGAGTGTTTATTTCAAATTGCTGGAGAAGAGGAGCAAGACACCAGAGCACCTTCATTCCTGACTCAGCACCTTGCTCAGAGGTTTCATACAGTTATTTCCTCCATCTGTCCACAAAGGTAAAGGTAAAGCCTGCACATGGAGTGTGAATCCTCAGAGACAAAGCCCCATGGAAGCACAACATGCTGCCTTGAGCTGCCAAAGCATCTGGATGCAACAACAGCCAGCATTTCCCAGAGCCATCCACCTGAACAGAAAAGCACAAGCAGCTGGCTCTGGGGACCCAGGGCAGGAGAAGATATTCCAGGGTCTAAGTCCACTCCTCTGCTGCTGCTGAAACAATCTCTTAATAATTTTTCTTTCTGCCCTTCACCCTTCTAGAGCTGTTTCACAACCTTTGGCTTCAACTGAAATTATTTATGACTGCCTTATGCATGCTTCTTCTTGTGACTAGTTTTATTTTAAGAAGCTCCTTCCTTCCCATGGTTTTAGCAGCCAGCCTCATTCTCTCTCCAACTTCATTTTGCTAGGGATTTATCTAAGCTTTCAGTCTCTGCCCAGAAAATAGTCTGTTCTTTAATCATCCCTGGCCCTGCTCCAATTTGAAATTATCTTTCTCAAATGGGGGTGACTGGCTCCGCATAAACTATTACAGATAAGATGGCAGGAAGTCTTTGTAAACAGCATTAATGCTGCTTTAAATTTTAAGGGAAGAAACTCCCCTGATTCATCCCGAGACACCAACATTTTAATTTCCAACTTGCAGCAGAAACTCACAGGTTTAAGTGAGAAACAGCACAAAAATACCACCCTCAGCACCTCCTACTTCTGCAGAGCCACTTCTCCTGGCCATGGGTGTCACTGTGTCACCATCATCCCTGCCAACCATGCTCCCAACGTATCCCTGTGCTTTGCCCCTGGCTCTTGAAAAAGCCATTGCTGGTCCACTCTCTCCCTGCTGAAGAGCTTCACTAACAACCTTCCCTCATCCTGAGCACCCCCTTTAGAGGGGAATTACTCCCACCTTTCCCTTAGGGCTCTCCCTTTGATACCTGCTGCTTTTCCCAGATGGACAAGAGAATTCTGCAGAACATGCCTGTGTGCTGCAATTATCCCTTCATGCTCTTCCCAGCCCTCCACTCACAGCTGCTGTCAGACTATCAGGCTGCCAGGATTTTTACTGTCCTCTGACTCAGCTCTTCTTAGCCACACATGACCATCATGCATCCAGAAGCATTTCTTCCAAACTCCATCACCAAAACCTTCCAATTTAGGTAAAAGTACAGCTTTGTCCCACTGCCACCATGGTGTTTCCCATGCAGCTGAGCCAAATGTCACATCCATGACCAAGGCATCTGAGGCCGGGCTGGACAGGGCTTGGAGCAACCTGGAATAGTGGAAGGTGTCCCTGCCCACAGCAGCAGGGAGGGAAGTAGGTGATTTTTATGGAAGTAGGTGATTTTTAAGGTCCCTTGCAACTCAAGGCATTCTATGATTTTATGAGTCTGTTAGACAGACCAACACCAACAAGAGATCCTCCCAGCTGAGCATGGCACAACATTAACACATGGCCTGCACAGACATTTTTTGCCATTTCACTATTACATATAATTAATGTTTTAAAAACACAGATTGTCACAAGCCCATGTATTTAAAAGAGTTTCCTCTTTTCAGTATAAAGTGTAACTCCACAACTCAGTAAATGAAAAATAATATTACTTATCATAATATCAGATACTTGAATACTCTAAGTCAGACTATATCTGGCCAATACTCAGATGAACTCCTTGCAAGGAAAAGGCAAGGCAAGTCTACAAAAATGCATGTAAAGAATTCCAAAGGCTCATTTTTTTGAGCAATATGCAAACCCAGAAGGCAGTGACTACCAATTTTCCCAATTTTCATCTTCTGTGGCAAGCTTCCAGAAGCTGTAGGTGTACTCCTGGCCAAAACCCAGCTCTAGTTATGCTGTGTCCACCTACTTCTAAATTTCATCTGCAAGTTATTTTTCATGTTCTCTTTATAAAATGTATTGACTAAGGTTACTGGCACAGAGCAACTGATGTCTTCTGTCCAAGACCGGGTGTATTTGAAGTGTATGACCCAATTCAAGTTGGCTTTATTATTTCTTATCATATTATTTGGTCAAAAGACAAAATACTATTAACCAGAATTGACTAGATCACAGAAAATCTTCACTGTAAAGCAATAAGCTTGGATATAATATTTAACTTTTTACCAGGCTTCAGTTTCTTAAATCAGTGTAGATTGATAGCTAAATCTGCAGGCTCTGCCACCTGGCAGAGGTGCTCCCTACCTCTTTTCTCTGTTCTAAAATGGTCTTATTTGGGCAGCAATATCCGATCAATACCAAGATGAGCAATGGCAGTGACAAAACAGCCAGTCCTGGCCTAAAGTGCTTGGTTTTCTCCTGTTTTTTCAGTGCTATAATGGAAATACATTATTCTGGACACCCCAAACCCATGCTGAAGCAATGTTGAAGTCAGTTAATTTGTGAATGATCTCATATTAATAAATATCGATGCTTTCAAGTCTTAGCCTTCAACAGACAATCTGATCTTTCCCCCCTCAAATGACTGCAGAATTATTATTATTCCACTGCAGCCTGCATATCCCCTTACTATCAGGCTTATGGTAATTCCAACAAAGCCAGAACTATATGAAATTACACAGAAGAAATGAGAATAAGAGAAAGATTTCCTAAAGTGATGAAAAACAATCCCTGAAATACCATGACACATTGGGAAGGAAGTGTTTTCCCGACTGTTCTGTGTAAACTGTATCAAAAGCAGCTCAGTCAGTGATTGTGCTGAAAAAAAAAAAAAAAATCAGTCCAAGATGTGGCAGAGATGAAGAAACCCTGAATCAGAGGATGCCTCTCGCTTCCTCTCTCAGTATTGCAATGCCTTTTCTTCCTAAACACGAGCTACACATGAATAGTGCTGGTGCTTCTTTTGTTTGGAGGGATTTTGTTTGTTTGAAGGGTTGTTCTTGTTCTTAAATATTCATTTGCTATGGATACAGAATTAAAATTTAAATTAATCATAGAAATACTTACAGACCAAACAATTATCATTCTTCTAGACACAGAGTGGTCTATATTCCAGTAGGTAAATGGAAGGAAAGTGATATAAAAAATCTCTTCACCCAAAGCAGCTGAAAACTTGAACAAGTAGTAGTAGAAGTAGTTCTTCACAATATACTTCTGTGTGCAATCCTGGAAATGAGAGAATTTTATCGTTTCAGTGAAGTAGAAAAATATAACAAACACTTAAAATATTAGAAGTGCTACAGTTCCAAGTCCTTAAACCAAATCATTTGTTATAAAAGATGTCAATGAAGTTCAACTTTTACACTAGAATGAAGACTGTAGTGATAGCACAGCTACATTTCCTGCAGAGCAATAATCTATTCAGACTAACTAAGGCAGCAGTCACATGGACAAAGACTCTCAAGAAATGGGATCAGCCTTTGCTCCAGGGTAGTCAGGTGTATTTCATAAAAGGTATTGACGTGCTAAGCTTGAAATTTCTACATCAGTAGACAAAGCCACCAGTGCTTTCACTGGAAATGTATTTTGAGGTGAAAAACTTAAACTGCAATTACTGAAGTACTTCATTTAAATTTTGACTTATTATAGCCCCTGAAATTTGCTGCCAGGTGCTGCTGATAAGAGCCCTCGGCAGAATTCTTCCCTGTGCCTCCAGCCCCGTGCTCCTGGTGTCAGGATGTCGTGGGACCACCCCACACTGAGTGCCACAGCTGGAAGATCCAGCTGCTGCACGGGGCTGGGCTCAGCAGCCACAGCTGCACGAGCAGATCCCGGGGAGCACAAGGCTCTGAGTGGGCAGAGCCAAGAGCTGCACCTGCCACCGTCACATTTTCACCCCAACATTTCAAGTGACAACAAGGTTGTCTTTTACTAGTAGATGCATTGCAAACAGCTACATGTTAGCACTTTATTTATTCATTTTATTTAGCATGAAATTTCATTCACTCTCTGGATTTGGCAGCTGGATGATTTCATCAGATGTACCCCACCTAACATGCTTGTTTTCCCTCTTCCAAAATGTGACACCCAGCCCTCCAGAGCTGGGAAGCCACACAAGAGCACACATTGCTTAGGCCATGACCTTGGCCATTTGTTGAATGTGTCTAGAAAAGGTTTTCTGCTGCTGCTGCTGCCGTTTGGGACTGGGACACCACTAAGAAGATTCACACTGTGAGCAGGAGCAACAGGCAAGTGAATGACATTTTGTAGGTACACCTGTCACTTCAGGAAATAAGGAGATAGACAGGAGTTTTGATTCAGGGGAGGAGCAAAGAAGCCAATATAGTCTCACTCCATCTTCCCCCAAAAATCAAAAATATGTACATTGGCTATGTAAATACAAGACGAAAGAACTTCCTAAAGATGAGAACTGAGAATGGATCATGAAGGTCTCAGCACAGACACACTAAGTTAAGATACAGCTTTGACATAAGCTTGTAAAACTCCCCAAATAGGAAAACTTGCTCGGAGCTGGCTGTGTAACTAGTTTACTAAAGAGAAACTCTCATTCTTACATGCTAGTGAGAAAACATAAAAATTGTCTAAGGAGTCTAGACATGCACTTGTGACTCATTGCAAAAGCCATTAGAAGTTCCAGTCTCTTCATCTGCTTTTAATGCAGAGATGAGGCAAACTGCAGGGAGATGACAACAGCAAGATGGAAAGAACTTGCATCCATTCAATTATCATAAAAACCTCACTACTCGAATTGATTTTTACACCAACAAAGAGGAAAAGATGAGTCAACATTTTTTGAAATGCCAGGGTCAGAGGAATATTCCCCATTCTATCAGGCACAGAGATCACAGAGGAGTTACTGGCATCCCTCTAGGATAACAGCTCTGCTGTGGCTGGCTGCATGACAGAGCAATCAGCCTGAGTGTCTCAAATCTCTTTGCCACTTAGAAAACACCCCCAGCACAATTAGCAACTCCAATGCTTCTGTCTGAGATCCTGAAACTCTATCTGGTGACACTTAACATAGACTCACAGAAATCTCTCTTCTGGCACCACTAACTCCTCACTTAAGCATTAATCTCCGAGGTATTGGGAATTATGGGTTTGTGTGCTTTAGCTCAGAGAGGATCAGACACATCCCTAAGGTAATGCTTTTATACTTGCAACTTCATGGGATGAGGGATAAAACTTTCTAATTCTAGTAACTGTTTTGTGGGGGAAAGTACGGTTTATCATGTTCTAAAAGAAATGTGGAGTTAAAAAAATATTTCCAGGCTGAAGGCAGGTCCAAGTCCTTCAACATGATTCTTAAAAGCTCTCTTTTTTCTTTCTTCCATTCCTTTTCTACCAGAAATCACATACACACACGCTTGGTTGGGATTTTAGCATCTTTTTTGGCTTTTTAATTCTACACTAGCAGTTGTGCACAGCCAGTGTGTGTGACAGGGGACAAGCAAAGCCTGTCTGTGACACCGTGCTGGCAGAGTGCCACAGAATCACTAAACTTGATGCTTGGTAGTGCACGGTAAAAAAGTGATGTTTGCACTTGTTATGATCCCAAAGCACTGTAAGTACAGCAAGCCTCCTCCATGAACCTTCAGACTGCAGTTAGCTCACATTTACTACCTACACCCACTATTTCTGCAGAAAGCAAAGAGTGCAGTGCTTTGTGAAGCACCTTCCCTTTTTATTCTCATTCAAACCCCAGTGCAGAGAAACCCATTATTTGTGTTAACATCTTCTAACATTCCCAGAAATTTATCCAATCTCTAATTTTAAGTAACTCCTGTCTTTAGACTAGGTTATTCTTAATGTACTGCAGTGACCTGATGCCTTCCACGATGCCTGAAGCCCTTTCAGCAAATCAGCCCTTCCATCCATCTCCATTGCTATTCAGTCTGGATCAAAGAGGTTTTAATGGACAGCAATTAAGGCTGCAGATAGTCAGAATTTTTAGAGCATTAGAAACAAGATGTAATAAGCCTCAACATTCACAGACACAGGAGACAGGTAATTTCACAAAAATGACCCTTCTCATCAGCTATAAAGCACCTATTTTGAAAAACCTCAAGTGCTCAGTCTACAAGAAACTCTCATGGATGTATGAGTCTCCATAAATAAACTACCCAGCTATTGGCACAGAAATGGCTATTGCAGGTCATCCCAGGGGTGGGTCACCCACGCCAGCTGCTGCCACAGCACCCACCCAGCCTCCCTGGAGCATGGGAGCATCCCCAAAACATTCCTACAGGGCCAGCAGAGCAGGACAAACCCACACTGTGGTGGCCCTGGGGGTACAATAGCACACAATGACACAGCACAGGAGGAATCCATCATTTTAAGAAAGGATGTAGATATGCAGTGTTTAGCCTTCAAAGCTGAAGCAAAGGAAGAGCAGCTGAGCCACTAACATAATAGATTTAAAATGCATTTTAGGGAAAAAACAAACTGGCTGTGCAAAGATACTACTCCTTGCAATTCCTCTGGGAGGTCTCTTGTCAGAGAGCAAAACAGGCCCCAGCTTTTCTTGCCCTGTCTCTAGAGACAAGCTGGGCAGCATCAGACTTCTAAGGCTCAGAGTCTGACCCAGACATCCCATTAACCAGCACTCTGTTCTCAGCTCTCAATTACTTGGGATCTTTCAGAAGATGTACATGTTTAATTGAAGTTCTTGAAGTCCCTTGCTCCCCTTCCAACAGAATTGCCTTGCAAAAGATTAGGAGTTTCCCTCTCAAAGTCCCTAATTAACACATTACATTCTTTTCACTTTAAGGTCTTTTAATGCAGTAGAAGAAAGGGTTCTAAATTTAGAGAAGCTACCAAAAATCAGTCACAAAACAAAAAAAAATCAAATTCCAGTCTAGAGGTTGCTGTACACAAAGACAATATAAATCAGAAAATTCAGGCCCACAGAGCTGTACTGTTTAGAGTAAAACCAGAGGGAAAAAGCCATCTGTACTGGAGTACTCTGCATAAGCAGTCAGTTGTGCATTACTTTATATTTATTAACTGTACCAAGTTAAAAAACGAACCTATCAAGTCACAACAAAAAAAAAAATTAGATACTGGTAATTAGACTTTGGAAAATAAGAAAAAGAAAAACTCATGGTTATCAAAGGCTTCAGCTCTTCCATCCAACTGCACAGCTGCACTTCAAACATGTTGAGTTTCCTGAAGATCCAGCAAGCAGCCAAGAGCAGCCAACACCACTGCAGCACCTATGCATCCACCTTCCCTGGGAGCACCAGCACTGCAACCCATTGCTCCAGGAGGAAGAAATGGTGGCCAGGGAACAGGGGCTGTGCCCCCTGGGAGATCCTGGTGTGGCCATCAGCCCCTGGCTGGGTGCACAGCACCCATGGTAGGGTGAGGGGGGAGCCAGCAAAGGAGCAACCCAGAGTCATGGAAGGGACTGCAGAGATGTCAGGAGGCAGCAGGGGCAGGACAACAGCACAGAGAGCCCACAGAGCACACACAAGGAGCCTCGAGGCATCAGAAATACACCTAAGCAAGCTCATACATCTGTGCAGCTTCCCACTCAGTTTAAATGCTTTAAAACAAGTAATTAATTTTTTAGTCTCTGCAGAACATGAGGCAGAGTTTTCAATAGCACTCCAGGTTTACAGAGTGCTGCTGGAGGGACACCTAGAGCCAACCAAAACCTCAGAAATGTGGAAATGGAGACAAACAGAAATCACAAGAAAGTCCTCCATAAATGTTATAACATTTTGTCCAGCTCTGCTGTTGGCAGCATGTCCTTGTTGACCAGCACACAGAGGACACATCCAGCTCCAGCTGTTGTGCAAGCAAAGACAGCAGCAGGCACTCCTGGCCTAATGAGCAGGGATGTGGCCTGGAACCATCAGCTGATACAGAAGACAGTCATTGCATGAGACATAACAATGCTCAAGCTCCAAGCCAGAGAGTCACAGCACCTTCAGTGATCTCAGGTAAAGAACCAGTGGGGAGCCTAAAAATCAAGTATAATCCTGGCAGTTTCAGCAGTTTCTGAACTCCAAAAGGCCATTAGACCAACTCTCAGCAAGGTACAATAGAAGAGCAGTGCTGCACAGCCAACAGCACCAGGGATGGATGGAAGCAGTCTGAAAGGGTGGAGCTATGCTTTGCAGACCAAAGGCTGAGACCACCCAGAGACAATGGGAAAGGTCCATGAAGGTCTCCCAGCAACACTGTCCCCCTGGACACAA